TCTCAGCATACGTATCACATCCAACCCTCATTTATTTGCTGTTGTTGATAATAATAAAGGAAGAGTTTAGAGTAAAAGTGTGTCACAGCCAATTTCCAAAGGAAACACCAACGAAACCATGCTGCATTCGATAGCGAACCACAGCAGATCTGAAGAGGACTATCTTGTGGAATTTTGCGCCATGCAGTATCGTAGAAGACCAACGTTTCGGAGGTGCTTACTGTATCCATCATCAGGGCGATGATTAAGCCACGATAAAAAGCGGATGAAGATTCAGGGGCGGGCAGGCTTGCATTAAGAACGTTTAAAACTTCAGTCAATTTTTACGATACTAGACAGAGCAACATCCCATCGCCATGAGAACTTGAACCCCCCCAGCCCCCCAATTTTGATATGCTCTCTGTTGTTCTGCTCCATATCAGTCGATCATTTCAGTCCCATTTCTTTTAAATTCATTCCTTCTTTCGCTTTATGGATTCTCTGTCACTTTTTAGTTTAATGTCTTCCAGTTAAGATTCTAGTGAATCAATGTTTCGCCATCAATGGCGGTACAATTCTTTCTGTTTGTTCGCACCACCTCCATATTTTACGTCCCTTGTGTAATTCTGCTTCTGCATTCTTCCTCTAGCTACGCCATTTCTCCCAGGTCAAGTTGAAGCTTTTGCTGTGTGCCGGGACAGGAGACGAGAACAAGCTTCAAAAACTACGTTTCTCGCACAAACAAAGTTGAATTACCCAAGGTCCACGATGCTAGCAATTCGGACTGACGTATGAATGGTTTATCAACTCCACTGCTTCAGTTGTTAATGAGTGTAGAAAATTCGTCACACGATTTGAAGAAGCATGAAACACTTCGTTTAGAAATCAGAGCAACAGCCATGCTTATAACAAAGACGTGACAGCACTGAGGCTAAATCAACACAGAACGTGGTTAAAGAAAATAGGACAGATACCAGCGACTCGAAATGAAATGAACTGGTGAATTAAGAAATCTTCCAGGAAAAAGTACAAGGACTCGAAACCAATCGAACATGTTCTGTTGAAAAGAATATCTGAAGTGTGAGAGAGAAAATGACCAAGGAAGTAGGAGTGACTCAGAATGAGCTAGACGATGGGAGAGAGATTCAAAGACAGTGACCATAGACAGCGCGAACAAGTGAGTAAACAAGCAAGTGAAATGGTTGACAGACTGCGAGAATAGGCTGAGTGGATGCGTCCTCGTATTTCGCCATCGAACAAGAAGGTTCGCTGGTAAGTATTCTCTTCCCCAACATGTACAAGATAATTCCCTGCCTCCTTACTCTACTAAAGTTGCCGAAGTTCCAAGCATCATCTAGCACGAAAGTCCAATGAATCAAGTAACAACAATTTTGTATTGAACATATATCTATGATAAAGGAAGTTAATGCAGTTCAATACACAAGATTAATTCAACATTTAAAAATTAGGCGACATCCTATGACAAATAAAGAATACTGTTGATGTTGAAGAGTTGAAAATCCATGTCCTACATTGAACAAGATATAAACCAAGTAACTGGCGTCACGCATTAGAAATACAAATGTCCGCTACAATATTTCCACCAGCAATTAATGGACATCAAACCAAATGAGGCACGCCAAATCGCAAACAGTAATAAAATAAACGTACGCTCACATAATCTTATCTCACACTCTAATACATCTACCAGACTACACGGCACAATAACCCAAAAACCAGCAATCTTCAATCACCACTGTGAAAACCTCAAGTCCTACACTCTAATACATCAGAGTTTAATACTATATCCTGCAGTCCGGTATGGTCTAGTGGTTAGGATACCTGGCTCTCACCCAGGAGGCTCGGGTTCGATTCCCGGTACCGGAATTTTTTTTATTTAAAAATTAAGCATAGATAGTGTTGGTTATTTCATATCCTTATGATGGGATTTCAATTTCTGTGCTTCTTTTGTTACAAAGAGGTAACCAGTCATATTTCAACACCACCACAATTACTAACGATAATGCTATAATAATGCAGTACGTAATATTGTAAATGTGTTCAAATAATACATTTAAAATACTCTTTCAAGTTTAAATAAACATTAAATAAAATGAAATCCCTCGAATATGATTATACATTCTTAAGAAAGCTTATAAGAAAAAAAACAGTGTTATCAGTAAAGCCACAGATTCCTCTAAACATAATTCCACATTTCAAAAAAACTTCTATTTCAATTGATTGATAATTTGTTGTCGTCGACGATATTAACAATGTTATAACCTGGGACGGACAACATGAAATTACGGTAAGGTTGGGCAAGCTTCATACTGTGTCTAACAGATGGCAGAGACTCGGCGACACGAATGTGCTACAACCTATCAACCAACACTGCAACTATCATTTCCTATACTATCCGCTAGGCGGCAGCTTCATCCAACGTTTGTGTACGACGACGTACTGACGTTTCAAAAGACATTTATTGCATCTTTTTAGATTCTGCTTACGTTTTTAGAAATGTTGCCCGTTTTCTGCACATTCTCATTACCGTGTTCACCTGTTATAAGCCAGTTAAATCGAATTCAAATCCTCCACAATATTTATGCAATTCATTTTGATATTCATCCGTCTACGCCTTGGTATTTTTCCTTAAAGTTAATAAATTAATTTTTTAAACATTTCTCGCCTTCTATTCATACTTAGTGCCGCAGCCAACTGTTAATTTTCGACTTTATCACCCTAATAAAGATTTATAAAGAGTACACTTTTCGAATGTCCTGAAGACGAGGACGAAGATGGTTCTCGAAACGTCGGTGTTTTCTTCATTAAACCACCTTACACGGTTGGTAGCCCGAGAAGAAATAATTATACTTATTCGCCTTGAAATCTTCAGATCATACACTGATGAATGAGGTTTTAGAATGTACACGTGATTTTAAGTTGCGTGGGTTTGCACTCAGATTACATTTTTAAGCATTCGACATTACGATTTTTCGATACCTTTAGGGATTGGGTAAAAATATACTCTCTTCGATGAGTGATTAATTTCTTCTATATTTTCTACGCACTTTTTTGAGAGCCAGTGATATACAGTTTAACAGTACGGAGAACCTCTTATTCGCTTTCATTAAAAAATACAAGACTTTTATCCCTCGGGAACAGAGAAAAAATAATTGGATATATTTCTCCAGGTACGCAGACTAGAATACTCTGGAATCAGATTGCGGTAAAGTCACTTAATCTACGTCCTCTGTCATTTACGAGATCTTCCCGTTCACTACGCCACGGCGATAACAGCCAGAAAACGTTTTAGAACATAAATTTGATAATAATTAAAAATGATTGTGTTTCTTTCTTACATTACATTTTTATAAAGTTTCATAACATTTAAGACGTGAAAGTGCTGTGTTATAAGAAAAATAATGTGACCAATTTTACTATCACCAGATTACCTAATCTTCTCAACACAAAACACACATTTGCAAGAAAGAAATATATAAGAAATTTTATTTTAAGAACCTCTAGGGCAAAGACGGGTTATATTTGCTATATAAAACTGTTCTTTACAGACCATTCTATTAATATTAGAACTTTTTTCTTATCGAAATATCACATTTCCATGTTACCGAATAACATTTATGGCTATTGCATCACTTAAACACAAATTGGTTTCTACCCCTTTTCATTGTTTTGTTCAGAAACCAAGATTCTTCGTACTGATACGAAAATGAGAAAAGTTTTAACTGCAGAAGACATGAGATTGTTTACGTGCAATATTAAATGTTTGTCTCTGGAGCATTTCCTTTATACCGTTTCCACACTAGGACACCTACTTGCTGAAACATCTTTTATCTTATCGTCTCCTAAGAGCTTAAAGATTAAAACATTTAAAGCTATTTTATTATATTTTATTCAGGCATCCTGGTCTGGAGGTTTTAGAGCTTCTGAGTTGTGATAAATAAGTAGATTTGTCGTGAGCCATGGAATAAACGACGTCTAATAATATAAATACTTCTGTTAAAACACCGCCTTTATGTTAAATATGTATGGGAGAAAAAACCAAAGGGTGGATATGTAGATTCGAGGCGTTTTGACAACAGCTTGCTCGGAAAGAATATGAAAGGAACGGCCAGGTACTGTCGCGACCCACAAAATATCAACTTGAAAAGGCACTCCCTAGAACCAGTTCCGAACACGAGAAGGTAACAAGACAACAAACTAATGGGATACTGCGCTGAACAGTCTCAAAGAATATGACCGACGTTTCGAAGGTGATTACTGCCTACATCATCAGGGCGATGTATAATCCGTAAAGGAGCAGGTCAGACGAAGCAAAAGCTTGACTCATTCTCGACCTAGTACGGTTTATCAATATTAGTGTTACCTTTTGGTATGTTGGCACAGTACGACCCATCAGAAATCAATATTTATAAACTTCCGAAATAACCCCATTTGCCGTTTACCAGCAAGTATAACAGCACAATCGTGATGGTTACTCTACTCTTACAGACTCACATTTATGTTGTTGAAAAGGCTTGAATTTTCTCAACTTGAAACATGTTTCGGTCTTAAATATACTCATGAACCTGAATCTAAATTTATATTTTGAACTTCGAGTGTTTCCGTCAAGTTAGTGTGGTAGCAAAGACGCTTGAGAGTAAAATTTAATGACAATCATATAATAATATTTGTAATACTCTGTCATTGGTCGTATATACATTAGCGGTAAATACCTGAACACGTCAGTTATGCATTTGACACAGACTTAACACGGAAAAAAGACACATACACAAATTGACTACGCACTGTACAAAGTACCTGGCAACACAGAACAATTTGGCTGTGCACAACACAGAACTCCGAGAAATGTCGCAAGGAACTGCCCAGTAGTTTCATGAAGGTTTAGATGGACGCTATTAGGTGAGCGAGTTACTGGGTATAGGCGTGTAAGACAGTAAGATTATTAATATGTGGAAAGAGATTGGGTGTACTGAAATGAAATATTCATTAAGATAACTTACCAATGGCTGTGGAAACCTCTGTACTTCACTTCTGTTTCACAGGATCACACCAGTTACATATAAATTAACCGTCCAATTCGAACAACACAACCACCATGATCCAACAAGCACTTGAGACTAATCGCGTGACATATGAGCCCGCTTACAGCGGCAAACATTGGAACTATAATTGATAACCTATAGCAAACACACGAAAACATTCTTAATGTTTCACTTCCCACATTTTGATTTCCCATAGCCCCAGTGATGAGAAATATATTGATAAATTCAATATATTAAAACATAAAAATACTTGTATGGGCAAAACAAACGTGTCTTTGGGTTATTACTTGACAACAAACACGTGGTCGTGAAGGTCGATCGGTGCAGTTTGGAACCAAAGCACGTGATGTCATCAGTACAGTCAGTACTACTTCCAGCACACATTAATGGCTCCAAAACATATCAATATTATTGTGTACAATATTAAGTTGTGTGACCAGGAGGAAAACAGGGGTACAGACTCATGTAAGGTAAACTATGTGACTATATCTATGCTTAACGGAAGTACGTCTTGATGCTTCAGTTGCTATTGTGTCCCGACTATTTGTTACGTCATTTAGTCAAACGAACAGACTGTAGGGTGCAGACCCAACGACAGTGCTGCTCCAGTGGCAGGGCCTCTTTACGCTTTGCGATAGAAAGGGAAACATAACCCCATTTGTAGGAGGTGGTGTGAGTGTTCATTAAATACTCGGGAGGTTTTAAAATTGATACATATTCTATCTTCCTTTACACGAAGCTTGCATAAAACTTTACAGAATTTCTCAATTATATGCTTGCACACAAAAGATGTAACGAAATACAAAGCATTCCTTGATAGGTTTCCTCATGTTCGGCTGACCAATTTCAAGACATATGGTACAATGCAGTTCCAAAACGGAAACGCTAAAGTTTTAAATTGGTTCTTATGAGCTTTGATCATATTCATTACTTGTATTCTATGTATGTTTAATGATGATATATCAACTGCTTAAAGTATAAGGTTACATCATCAAATGAAAAATACTCAGAATATGGGTAGGAAGTTTAGAAGGCAGTGGGAGGTAGAGACCGTGGTCTATTTTAAATTATTGCAGAAAATGTTAATTTGTTTAAATTAACACTTGCATATAGATGTCTACACTATGACACTGATAAATAAAGAGCCCCTTACGACTTTGTAGAAACAACGCAAGTGAAATTTATTCATAGATTACGTATCCAATGATAGACCCTCAAAAAACAAAAATTATCCACAGATCAGAATATATCCAACATTTATTTACAGAGGTACTGAGAAGATTATTTTAAACTCCTTAAAATTAATAGATTTTCGAAACCGATTACTGGAGTTTACTGTTCTTTTTACATATTTTCGTCATGATCATAATATCAGTTCATGCATGTTACATTCAACACGGAAAGTCAGCTGTTAACAACCTTATTCCACATTCAGATTAAGTTCTTCTTATACCTACATATATCTATTGTTACCGTAGTTACTCGTTTTACGCCAACCTCTGCCATACTCGCTGCCTTCATCGCTCAAACAATATTAAAATGACAGTAACAACATTCAGTTTTATCTGTCTGTCATATTGCAACTGATGTCAGTACATCCTTATAAACGTTAACATCAATCGAATGCAGTTCGATTATTGATCATTACGCAGTTCGTAAAAGTAAAATTATATAGACAACACGGTTTAATCATTAAATATCTGACCTGATCATATTAAAATCCAGTTTCGTCACCTCGTGATCTTCTGGGTTGTTACGCCATCCACCATTCTGGTTGTCTAACAACATTTTACAGAACGAGCTGCTACATCTTAGGAGTATATCAATTCAGAAGACAGGAAATTAATTCAAATCGCTGTAAAAACTAAAATCCGACACTCGATACACCAGTCATTAATTACGTGGTATTTTCCTATAAATTGATATGGAACACTTATGTCTTACATGTTATACTACTACAATTATTTACAACCATATATAATTACTGTTGTAATTAAAAAAAATTACATCGAACTCGCTATAACTAGAAGCATGAGGACCGTTAAAATCTAGCGCATGCGCAGGACTGAATAGTCCTGCGCATGCGCACTGCAAACTGATCGAATTATATTAAATCTATTACCCTGTGTGTCTTTTACAGACAAACTGGGGAGAATTCCCCAGAATTGTGAGCTTATAAACATTAAACGACAAGTTTTGATGACGTAACAATGAGATACGTCGTCATTATATAATTTCATTCAATGGCTGCTTGAGACACAACACATACGTAGCTCCCAACACGTGACTCGTGATAGGGCAGTGGCAAGCTGACGTTTCTTTATGAGATCACTGTTAAAATTTGGATTAAGGCGAATGTTGTGAACAAATAAGACACGTGCTGCTTTCTCCTGTTCTAGAAATAAGAGTTGCAACAAAAATGCTTGTTTTAGTAGCTTTCACTGTTTGATGATGGTGGTGGTGATAACGATAAAGATAATATTAAAAATAATTCCTGATATTGGAGAAAATTCTAGCCACTGTACCAGAACCTGAGCCACCTCAATCCAAAATATATTACAAATACACATTTGTTTACGCATTATCAGTCTCCAAATGGCCACTTCATAAGAGATTTTTCTACAAACTTCTGCACTAGTTACTTGTTTCGTCCACAAGTTACATGTACAGCAAAACATAACCTTACAAATCACTAATAACATTTCCGATGACTTCAGTAATAATACGTTTAAATACATACCTCGTTTCTTCATTGGTCTTTACGACTGCCAGCGTGGCGCTTACGTCATAGTTACGTCATTTCCGTCATAAAATACTCTGAACATGACGTATAGACATACGTCACGTTGACGAACTGTGTCACAATATTAACTATACACTGTAAGTGTTAATATGAGGGAAGATTAATCTTCCTTTTGAAAGTTGTCGACGTTGAACAGACTGTTACAAAATAACACGTTCTGTACAGATAAGAGCTCGGAAAGGGTCCAACCAGGCACAGAAATTACTGTTCTCCTGTTGTCAGCTTGTATTTTATTTAGGCTCTGAAGACACCGTAATTTTGTGATCTCGGCGTCTGGCGAATGTATTCCCTGTATAAGAGAGTCTTAGACACACGGGAATATTACCCAGGAATTTTCTGGTGGGTGTGATGAACACCAAGGAACCCCTCAGGGTAGCCAGTTTCCTGAATAAAATTTAAACTTGGGACCTCCATGATGCGAATCAAGATTGATAATCAATAGTTAAAAAAATTGTACGTATGTACGACAAATGGGGTATTCACGGCGGTTGATATTTCGAAGGAACATATCGCCCCCCATCTTCAGGATCCCTGAAGACGGAAGCGACAGGTTCCTCCGACGCCATAAAAACTTAAAATCTCACAAGTCAACTATTTTTTTCTGAATATGTAATAATATCAAAGATTAACTTCAAGACAAAATCCGCTCCCAGTTCTCGGAGACTCTCACATTCTCGAGAGAAATTCCGAGCCCCTTAAAACGAAACTTTACAACAAGATTTTAATTTTAAAACTTTCGGTTTTTCATCATCTCGGAGGGATACTGAGGTGATTCCTCGATGTTTAAGGGCAGATTTTCCCATTTTGGTTTGATACGTGTTATCACGAGAAAGTCACAGCTGACACCTTTTTAACCCCTGAAATCCCTTGAGCTCATTTTTAATTTTTGTCTAAATTAAACAGCGCTGTATGTGTTGTTGTAACAGAAATATTATCTTTGGGCTGACACTGTTTCCGCATTGTACTGTTGAAATGTACGAGAGTATGTGAAGACGTTTCACACATAGTTCCACTATTTCCACGTAGACTCAAAGTATGTCGTCCCTTGGTGCAAGACCTAAATAAATACCTGTTGAAATGTTTTCGAAATTTCCCACTGATACAATATAATGTTATGGGATTAATGCAGGAGTTTATGAAGCTGAGGCAGAATCCGATGATCCTAAATACGTTCCAGAAGTCATTATAATCTTCCTCTGATTTAGGGTTAAAATTAAACCACAAATTAAATATGTGATATGGTAGGAAGCACAGAATAAATATTATTACGAAGGCTAACACCATTTTTGAAACTTTCTTCCTCGCTCGAATTTGTGATGACAGGCCTTGCATCTCTCCTGGCATGTTCTTGGCGCTCAGGATAAGATGATGAGCCATCATTATGTAGAAACATGCGATAATGATCAGTGGAATGGCGTAGTACGACAGAAACTTCACCATGACCATTGTCTGAACGTAAACTTTGCCCAGTTCTTCCGGATACGGATGGCAAATCTGCGGAGACAAAGAAATTCGCTCGAATACTGTTGGGCTATAAAACTCTTAATATTTGACAAAACTCCGACGTTTCGGAAGATAATTGTTTTCATTATCACGGTGATGTGACGTAGGCTTGAAATATTTTGCAGAAAAACCTCACAAACATTTCGGAAGCTGTAATATTTCTATGAGAATGGCTGATGTCTGATTAGACTTGTTGACCGGTACGTTTCCGAAACGTCGCAGTTTAATTCTCCCTTCATGAAAATAATGAAATATAATTTGATATGATTCAAACAAATCATAGAAATGTTTAGGCCAAACTGGCTGATTATGTAAATTACGAATTACGTTGTCACATAAGAATTAAAGTCTCGTTCTCGTTTCAATGTTCTTTAATAAAACCTAACTTAAATTTCGGCTTATAAAATTAAGTAGTATAATTCTTATCATGAAGCAAAGAAACTATTTTTTTTTTATTTCTCGAATCTAAATGGTGCAGTAGAAAAAGACGTTTTTAGAATTACTGACGCTTGCATTTGTCAACAAATGTTTTTGTTAAATACAATTAATAACATGCAACTTACGTTGAAACACCATACGTTTTTATTACTCTCGAATCAAACTTCGATAAATCTTATAGCAGTGTTATATTGACACTATGGATAAATGTACTCGTTCCCGTCTAATTCGTACATTTTTTCGTAAATTTTATAGTTTTGACTGAGCTTTAAGTGAAGCAGGATATATATTGCAGAAGCAAGGACTAATATGAAGATATCTTAGGAATTTCAGTGTAGACCTCTTAGCTCTGAAGGAATCTCCTTTGTGTTTGCTACAACATTGACGACATGACCTCTGTGATAACCTAAAATGTCACATACATTTATTATTTCATTCGCAACAGTTATCGTCCAAAATGAGGATTAATAAAACAGCACACGATTCAGAGTAACATTGGAATAATGGCGGTCTGATGGGGTGGGGTATTACTAGGGCTATGATTTGACCTTGATAGTCTTGTTGGTGTTGAGCGAAATCTCGGGCACGTACGAAAAGACGGCGGCCGGCACTGCCAGAAGTACAGCGAGGGCCCAAACGCCGATCGTCGTGAACTGGGTGACAGGCTTGGTCGAAACCCTGCCCGCCACGTGGCGGCGGATCGGGTTCACAATGGCATAATACCTCTCTGCACTCAGCGCCGTCAGTGTGAACACTGACACACCAATGGACACGTCCTTGGCGCTTTCCGACACCTTACAAATCACTTCGCCGTACGGCCATGATTCCAGCTGCAAAAATAAACACGTGTTTACTCGTCACACGACCTTCACCCACTCTGACGTGTATCAGATCCGATTTCCGTGTTATCCAGGGCGCCAACTGCAACAGATACTGTTCGCGACTGTAATCTTGAGACTTGCAAGGCATACAGGAAGTCCGAAGCGTTAAAGTCTGATCCTATCTTTCCTCCTTCACCCCACTTCCTCACCCCGCAAGTCTCAAGATTACAGTCGTGGACTATAAAACAGATTATTTTTATATTACGATACATAATTACCGTCATAACAAATCCTCAAGTTTAAGATATTCATATACTTATTCGCCACAATGAGATCCTGAAATATCACAAATATCAAATTTCCTTCAATGTAACAAATAATTAAATAATTCCTCAGAAGAAAATCTTCAAAGATCGAAACATTTTGAACTTAAAATGAATGTAATTTACGTTTTGCTCGTACTCACTGTGTACAAAGTAGATATAAATGGGACGCAGGTCACAATGACTAGAAGGTCTCCTAGAGCCAGGCTGAATATGTACGTGTTGGGGACGTTCCTCATCTTGCGGTGACGTATAAAGATGAGTACCAGGGTGCCGTTACCGACGACACCGACGAAGAAGATGAGAGCAAACACGATTGGCACGATGTACGTTTCCGGCCTCTTGTTGTATGGGACGTATTCGGTTTCATCCTTCAGGGTTACGACGCCGTCCAGGCCTGGATCCGAGAAGTTCCAGCAAGTGCAGTTTTCGTCCAGCACACAGCTCGCGTTCAGCACCGGGGGGCACTCCTCCAGCAAGTAGAACGGGTCGCTGTTGCTAAGGGACATCCTGCAGACACAGGCGAGGGAATGTTCCTCGTTGGTTTACTCAAAAACGTCTTCTCAACGGATACTTGAGATACATCTCAAAATTAGGACGAACAAATGATTTAGAAAGGATGCCGACAGAAGTGGAATTGGCTTCCTTCAAGGTAGTGTCCTAGAATTTAAACACAGGGACTGAAAGTGACTCCGCTCCCAGATTAGGGGTCGTTTTGGGATCTCGCGAGAACGAAGCAGATGTCAAAACCGCTTCTATTACAAGTTTCCGGAGACACAGCTCTGTGTCCAAGACGACAGCGAAGAACGACTAGTGAGATATGGAAAGCAGTCAACATAAACACTAATTAAATTAGGAGCTGCTAAAGTAGGGCTACATGTTAATGAAAGGAAGACTAAATGGATGATACAAAGTATGATAGACATAGACAAAGAATAACGATCCAGCCTAACATGACATTGGAGATATTCCAAGAAGTACAAGAATTTAAATATCTTGGAACAATCCTGACAAGTAATAATGATGAGTTGACTGAAGTACAAAGTAGAATAACAGCAGCA